GAAAGCAGTGAAAGATTTAAAATAAAAAAGAAAATTTAATTTGAAGTCAATGCTTTTTATTTTTGTCATTACTGAGGGCCACGACAACAAATATGTTCGGTACTCATATGGCTGATGCCGCACAAAAAACACGAGCAATTAAAATGCAAAAAGAAAAAAAAAAAAAAAAAAAAAATTTAAAATAAAAAAGAAAAGAAGAAACTTTTCTTGCATGCTACCCTAGCATCTTATCCACGTAGACATAAATTAAATATGTCAGGTACTCATGTTTCACTGTTGTTACATTGTGGTGCATAAATTATGTTTATTAAAAGTATGTATTGACTGCTTATAAAATAATTTCTTTAAACATTCAACTTATTAAATGAATTATCAAATTATTAATTTATTTAAATTTTTTTTAAAACTTCAGTTTTTCATTAGAGCGTCTCTGAATATTAAAAAAGTCTCATCTTAATTTAATAAATTTTTCGAATTTTAATACATAACTGCTTATAAGGTTTTTGAATTTTTTATTCAAGGTATTTTTAATGTGAAAAATCTATTGGTACGCTTGGGGGCTCAACCGACGTGATAAAGTGACACGTGCGATGGCATGATCTCTGATTTAACTTGGCTCGGCTCAGCTCGGCTCGGCTCTCTATCTTTTTTTCCACACGATTACTGCCACCCCTCTCTCGTTTGTAACGAATACTATTCATATGTATAGCTATATAGAAGAGTATATAATAACTGAATATCATATATGTATTGTACATATAGCATATACATACGTCCGCACACATATTATATATCATATGTGTAAAAAAAATGTTTTCAAATTTAACGGACTCTAAGGATCAAATACATATCATGTGGATTGGTAGTTGGGACCTTACTCATTGCGCTACGCTGCATGCCGATCTGATCTCTGTTCTTATTACTTATTGATATCAACCGAAAAGCCTCTGAATTAGGAAATTAATCCATAATAGGGTGTTTTTATATTATATATAATTAAGCCTGCCGATTCTAAAAAAAATGGTAATAGTTATTTCTAAGTGGTCAAATAATATCAAAATTATGTAAAATGGTGTTTTAAGGTTCGTTTTGCTCATGTCTTTTAATGGTTTGGTATCGAGAAAAAATAAAAATACCAGCGTGTAGGGCCGAAAATTTTCTATAAATAAGCAATTTTAATTTTGTTTTGACTACCGCAAAATGTTGAGAAAAAAATAAAAAACGTATGTTGGCAGTACCTGTAAAAGGAAGTGAGATAGAAAAAGCCATTGATTGTGTGCTGTCAGGCTTGCTCTCTCTCTCTCTCTCTCTCTCTTTCTCTCTCTCTTTCTAATGTACTCATTAAGGTAGGCCTTTTTTTATGGCTTTGTGAAATATTCTGCACATGTAGTAAATATTGAATCAATATTAGAATTAATATCATTTTTTTATCAGTTAAGAAAAAGTTTCTTCTCTGTAAACAGGGTTATTTTGAAATATCAATATTTGACCATAATGCCAAGTTTTTCCGGGGTCTTCCAATTGTGCTTATTCAAACTTCGTTTTAACCCATCTTTAGTAAGGAGCCAACGAAATTCTAGCATAATTGCAACTACGTACAGTCAAAAAAAAAGAAAAAGGTATCCAAAAAGAAAAAGAGAGACAGATAACGTATGACACCTAATCGTTTGTTAAACTAATGTATGTTCCTATGTGTAGGTAGGTAGTATAGTGTTACAGGATGCTGCCGATGCGAAATAACGAGGCGAAACTGGCAACCTCAACTGGGCCTGTGTTGCCCGGGTACCCTCGGTGACACCTTTAATAAACTTTATACGTGGGTCTCGCTCCCCGAGACAACACAGAGGACAAGTATCGTGGCGATCTTGGGCGTCGTCGCCTCTCGCGACGACTTCAGCACGATGCAAGGGGGATCGGGTACGCAAAGAATAATCACTCGCGAGGAATATGAGGTAATAAAATATATTTGAGAACAAAAATATATAAATACATCGCGGGCGTAAGTGTGTTTCCTCGCACGTCAAGCGCGATTGCTTGACGTGCTTGCGGCGCGAAAACGCAAACTGGGCAGATCTACGTGGGCTAATCTAGGGCCGCTGCCCTTTACAATAGTCTGCCTGTTGGCAGGTACTTCCAGCCATGTGGTGCCTTGCATAGGTGGAAACTAGTCGTTGTTGGAGTGATTACGCAAAGGCCATGCGGCGTCCCTACTGGCTGCGTGCGGAGGTCAAGGTCATCGGGCCTGGCCTTGATTCAACCTTGTCAACTGGTTCAGGAGCCGGATCACGGCACCAACACTGTACCGCGACATCGAATGGTCTCCAACGTTATCGGCGGATCACCCAATCGCTCCAACACAAAATTTACGTACCAAAACAAACGGAAACAAGGGGAGACTGCAGAAAAACACCTCACGCGCGCTCGCTGGCCCAAGCTAATCTGCCGCTCTCTCGGCCCTTTCTCCCGTTCCCCTACTTTACCTTCCCGCTTTCCCACTTAGGCCCTTTAACACTCTCTTCTCCTTCCCTACCAGTCCTAGCCTACTAATGTGGCCTAACGATGGGGCACCGTCACATGCCTTAACTAGACGTTGGATACCGGAGTATCCAACTCTACCTCCTAGGCATCATTCAGGTAGGCTGGGGCTTAAACTAATCGAGAGAAAAGGAAAAAGGCAGATGAAAGAAAAATACAACGTCGGCTATACATAAAAAAAAAGACGCTATTTTTTGCCGTAAGTGGAGAAAGAAGAACAGAAAAGGAGTGAAAAATGAAAAGAAAAAGAAAAGAAAAAAAAAAAAAATTCAGTATAAGTCGAAGTGGTCCTTGGCCTCTGGAGTATCGTGTCTGGGCTGGTCGTGGGCTGGATCATTTGGAGACTCAGCCTTCGTTCACGCACTCGAACCGATAGTCTTTGGCACATCTCGGACACTCTGAGGAGCGCTTCACTCCCGGACAACCGCACATATAACAACGGACCGGTCGGACGGATTTCCCCGCCGCCTGAACCTCAACCGCACGGGCCCTCATCATGAGGCGTTCGGCCTCCTGACGAAGCTGCCAAGCCTTGGTGTCCGCCTTCCTCTTCTCCGCGAGGCGTCGGATCTCCTTGGCCTCCGCCTTTCTCTTTTTCTCGTCGAGACGCTTCCGCGTCTCGACCCAGGCCCGATAGAAGGCTGCAAAGCCTTGCCGGCCCATGGCGATCGTTTCGGCCTCTGCTGTCTCGGCCGTAGAGCCGTGCTCCTTCACGAATACCTCGATCTCATTGAACGAGGCGATCGACAGCTGGCGACCTGCCACGACTTGGTCGCGGGCCTGGTTGCGGCGTTCCCGCATGCCTCTTCACTAGGCAGCTGGTCCTTCCGGTTCCATTGGGGGGTTAAGGCCCGTTGATTCGGGGTCTTCCACTACCCCTGGGGTTGGCGGGCCTGCGAACAGCGGACTTACCCGGTTATGGGGCGGAGGCTCAATGGCCGGCCATGGAGTCGTTCTTACCTGGGATCTGAGGCCTCGTTGAAAGGCCTCGATCAGCTCAGTCTTCTCTTGCTCGTCTGTGATGTGCCTGAGACGTCTAATGAGACCACCCAGGCTAAGTTGTGCTGACTCCATATCTGCAACAATTCTGCCCCCAGAAAATAAAAGTAACAAAAAGTGGGCAAGAAGAAAAGAACACAGTTAGTTAGGTGGTAGGCGTTTACACAATTAAATTTTTACTATTTTACGGGCCACAGCCATCGCATCTCGCTCGGCGATTGACCCATCGTTTGGTCGCATGTTAGGACATCGTCGCGTAGTCTGCCTTCAATCGCAGGCGTCTTACCCGCGACGGATGGCTTTGACACCACGGTCGCTTTTCACGGGCGGCCTTGCTTTGGCCTGACTGGTCCGGCAGCCTCGCTTACATGAAGTGGGCTCGATATAGGTGGGTCGCGCTTCACCTGTTCGCCGCTTTCCTACAGTAGTTGAGGAGCGCTAACCACTTCTTCTTCGGACCTCGAATCGTCAGAAGGAGGGTCTTCTCCCGCCGTCGCTGAGGGTCTGTCACGTAGGGCTTCAGCTGCCTCACGTGAATGGGGCCTGACCACGCGCCTTCCTCGGATTCCAACTCGTACGTGTTGGAACCCAATGCTATCCGGACGGTAAAGGTGCCGACGTACCTTGGAGCCAATTTGGCTGCCACGCCTTGCGTTGCCAAAGACAAGACGTGGTTCTCCCGCCATACCTGGTCGCCGGGAGCGTAGACCACTTCTCGATGCTTGGCATTGTTATGCCGGGTGGCATTGGCCTGTGCCTTATCGATTCGCTGGCTTGCTTCTACGTGCAACATCGGCAAACGCTCCATGCGCTGCTTCCAGCTCTCTATTGCCTCATTCTCTAGGCATTGCTGGGCCATCAAATTAACCTGTCAGAGCATCGTACCTGGGCGCGTACGGTTCTCTACCACTGTTAAGCATCGCGGGGGAGAAGCCTGTGGAATCGTGCCTCTCTGTGTTGTAAGCGAATACATGTTCGGGCAGCTTCTTGTCCCATGACCTATGATTGGCTTTGACAAAAGCTCGAATCATGATCTTGATGGTACGGTTCAAACGTTCAACTGGGTTCGCCTGCAGGTGATACAGCGGCGTAAGCATGTGCCGTATGCCCAGGCTATCCAAAAACCCATCGACGTCTTTGTTCCAAAACTTGGTGCCATTATTCGTCAACAACGCTTCCAGGGTACCATGTCGACGGATGACGCGCTCTCTCAGTGCGCTCACAACAGCCTTCCCATCGGCTTGCCGTAGCAGTACGACTTCAGCCCACCTCGTAAATAGATCCTCGATCACGAGGATGTATACGTGGCGGTGCGTTGTCTTTGGTAGGGGGCCCATCATGTCAACGGCCACTACTTGCCATGGAGCGGTGATGATCCTACGCCCCATAAGCCCTGGGAATAGCCTCTGATCTACCTTGGTTTGTTGGCAAACCAAGCAGCTTCGCACGTAATGGGCAACATGCTGTTAGTATCCTGGCCAGTAGTACAACTGGAAGACACGCGCGAACGTCTTCTCACGGCCAAGATGGCTGGCAGATGGTGTATCATGACACTCCTGAAGCACTTGGTCGTGCTGGCTTTTAGGTACCACCAGCTTCCAGGCTTCAATGTCATCGAGAGCTTCGTCAACCGTGGAATCGGGGCGATATTTATACAGGTATTCCCCGACGGTTTTCCATTGCAGTTGATCCCGTAGGTCGTCCCGTACCTTTTGTACTATCTCCTGGTACCAAGGATCTTTAGCAGGGGGTTCCCACATGAACGCTGCCACAGCGCCACTCTCGTCATCCTGATACAGTCGTGACAGGGCATCAGGTACGCAGTTTTGCGACCCTTTCCACTGTTCAATCTCGAAGCAATGGCTTTGAAGTTCCATGGCCCATCTTGACAGTCGTCTAGTCGGGTCTTCAATACTAACCAACCACTGGAGACTGCTGTGATTGGTCACGACCTTAAAGCGTGTCCTTTCGATATATGGGCGGAACTTTTACGTCACCCATAAGACCACGAGGCATTCTCGCTTTGTAACACAATAATTGCGCTCAGCCGTTGTCATCGAACAGCTTGCAAAATCCAGCACTCTTTCCTACCCGTTGACTATCTGCGACAATACGGCACCTAGTCAGGAGTCACTGGCGTCCGTTTGCACCACGTACGGACTCTTGGGGTCGGGTCGTTGTAGCACTACCAAGAACGTCAGCAAAGCCTTTGTCTGTTCGAAGGATCGTTGCTGTTCATCTTTCCAGTTGAACGGCTGATCCTTACGCAACAGCCTATTGATCAATTCTACTACCGTCGAATAGTTTGGCAGGAACTTCCGGTACCATGAAACCATGCCTAGGAACCACCTAAGTTGTTTCAGGTTCTTCGGAGCCGGAAATGCCGTAATTGGTTCCAATTTAGCCGGATCTGGTCGTAAACCGTCTCGAGGAGGCCAAGGTATCTCACCTCGGGTTGACAGAACTCACTCTTTCCTCGGTTGAAGATGAGTCCTGCTTTAAGAACGCGTTTTAGCACATACTCTAGCCACTTGAGATGCTCCTCGAATGTCTCAGTGACAATTACTATGTTATTGAGGTAGGCATAGGCATAGGGCTCGAGCTTTGGCCCAATGACGCTCTCGATTAGCCACTGAAACGTCACTGGCGCAATACTCAGGCAAAACGGCAGACGTTGGAACTAAAAGAGTCCCTCGCCTGGTACGGTGAATGCTGTCCATGGCTAAGCTTTCTTGGCTACTGGTATCTGGTGGTACGTGCTGCTGAGATCAAGAGTTGAGATGAAACGTGCTTTTCTCAGCTTGCGAAGGATGGTATCCATATGTGACAATGGGTACGCGTCGGGGATTATCACCGCGTTTTTTTTCTGGTAATCGACGCAAAAACGATACTTCCCATCCTTCTTGCGTATCATTACCATGGGACTTGCCCAGCCACTGTTGGATCGCTTAATCACGCCACTTTCGAGCATCTCACTTATGTGGCCATGGATTACCTCCTGGATCTTATCCGATACCGGATAGCCGTTATGCTTGATGGGTCGCGAGGTCGTGACCTTAATCTCGTGCTCGACCCACGTAGTACATCCTAAGGGAGCTTCACGCTATACGTAGCGGTCCAGGAGGGTCTGCAATTCCTCTTGTTGTCTGGACGAGATTTCGTCCAGCACGACGGCAGCGAGTTAGACCTCACTGGTCGCCGTCATGCCCACTACCTCTAGAGGGACCTTGGTACCTGGTCCTTTCAGCACCAGGACTCTATCAACAGGGTAATGGATGGTCCCAAAAGCATTGATAAAGTTAGCCCCGACGTAGCAGTCAGCGTCTAACGCGAGCAACACTATGACGTCTACATCCCGTTTCACCCCTCCTAACTGGAAGGGTAGGGTGACGAAGCCTAAGGTGCGTGACGGTCGTCCATCGGCCATAGCCGCGATTCCTAGCGTGGAGCGTAGTTGCCGACGATAGGAATTGGCTATCTGGAGCCCGACTGCTCGCATGACCGTGTGCGTAGCGCCAGGATCGTATAGCGCTCGCAGCTTGTACCCGGCTACTTTAAGCTTTAGCCACCACCGGCACGCGTCCTCTCATGCAACCACGGACTGTGAGGGTTGAGTAGAGGGAGGTGGCGTAATACCCTCGTTTACGTATGCCTTCTCTCGTTTCCTTGCCTTTTATTCGGGCAGTCCCGCGCATAGTGGCCAAGGTGGTGACACTGATAGCAGTAAGACTGCAACTCCTGCGAGGGAGACCTGTCTCTCCGGGTGCTAGAATTTTTTGTGCCTGACCCCTCGTTCGGGTTTTGCCTCGGTGAACGCGAGCCCAAACCTCGGCGTCTATTCGCCTTGGGCGAAGAAGGCTTGGGTGATCGTCCTCCCTGTTGACGGGGCCCGTTTCGGGAGCGAAAACTCTGCTTTGGCTCATTAGCATATTTAGCCAGTCCTGTTCGACGCTTCTTGACGTAGAGAAGGTCAAGCTGCAGCTTCGGCATGTTTTCGTCAATTTCCAGTTTTCTGACCTTTTTTTTAGTCAGCTCATCGACTATTTCTGCCGAGTACTCGTCCATCACGTCGAACCCAGCAATTTTTGGTGGATTAGCCAGTTCCTTTGACAGCTCCTCAATTGCTTTCCGAAGGGCAGCTTGCTAGTTTCGGATAGCCGCTATTTCCTGTACGCTAGCGCTCAAAGGTTGGGCTTCGCTTTATGGCATCGTTGACATCCTCCGCTGGCTCAAAATCTTCGGGGACGTATTTTCCCGCGAGCCACTGGTACAGGTGGTGAGCCCTGACTGCATTGCTGCCAGTCGTAAGCAGCTCGAGGTTATTTAAAAAATTTATTCTTAGGTCATTTTTTATCAATGACCTGATAAATTTATTTACCGCATCAGCTTTCTCCTGTGGTATCAATGCCATAATTCTTTTAATTACTAAGTGTGCGCTACACAATATAAAATTTTCGGCAGTGAGTGTACTGTGCGGCACGCAGAGATTAGCTTAGAAGAGAGAGCTGACAGGTAGGGGGACTTTGCGTCAAAGCGTTAGTTGGACGCAACTTTCCACCTTAATTTATGCCTTAAGGCTTTAAATTAAATTAATAATTTCATATAGCTTTTTATTACAAGCTATCAGCTGTAGGGAAATCAACTCCCTCAACTCTCTCTTTTTTGTGTGTACGTGTTTGGTACAATGTTCAGTACAGTTATGTTTAGTGTACGTGCACCCGTACACTACTGCCAGTGCCCTCTTTGCACTACGAGTCGTGAAAAGCCAACAGCCGTGTATACCTATATACCGGCACATACGCGCTGTGTGCTCTACTTGCGCTGAAGATCAGCGTTCGTTGCCTGTGAAAATCAGATTTCACAGGCTTAGCTTGTTGGCCATCGGCAATAATATTTGATCTCAAAATATTATTTCCCTTCTCGATCGAGTGCTGAAAGCTAGCAACGACTCGAAATTGTCACGTAAATAAAGCCGCTGCTTTGCTTACACGCGTGACCTATACTAGTCTGCCGGTGTCTTTCACGTGCGTTATACACGTTCTCCACGCTATACACGCTATCTGTTGTGTTTTTGTTTTTGCTGTAGCTACTGCTACAGCACCTATTTTACTATTGCTATAGATATAGCAATAATATTAGTCGTCTACCTTGTAGACCGACCTTGGTTGCGACCTTCGGCGTCGTCGCCTCTCGCGATGACCTTAGCACGATACAAGGAGGATCGGGTACGCACAAAATAATCACTCGCGAGGAATATGAGGTAACAAAATATATTTAAGAACAAAAATATATAAATACATCGCGGGTGTAAGTGTGTCTCCTCGCACGTCAAGCAGGATTGCTCGACGTGCTTGCGGCGCGAAAACGCAAACTGGGCAAATCTACGCGGGCTAATCTAGGGCCGCTGCCCTTTACAATAGACTACCTGTTGGCAGGTACTGACAGCGATGCGGTGCCTTGAATAGGCGGAAACTAGTCATTGTTGGAGTGATCACGCAGAAGCCAAGAGGCGTCCTTACTGGCTGCGTGCGGAGGTCAAGGTCGTCGGGCCTGGCCTTGGTTCAACCTTTTCAACTGGTTCAGGAGCCGGATCACGGCACCAACACTGTATTAGGACGTTGAATGGTCTCCCACGTTATTGGTGGATCACCCAATCACTTCAACACAAAATTTACTTACCAAAACAAACGGAAACAAGGGGAGACGGCAGAAAAACACTTCACGCGCGTTCGCTGGCCCAAGCTAATCTGCTGGTCTCTCGGCCCTTTCTCCCGTTCCCCTACTTTCCCTTTCCACTTTCCCACTTAGGCCCTTCAACACTCTTTTCCCCTTTCCCTGCTTCCATACCTGCCCTAGCCTTCTAATGTGGCCTAACGGTGGGGCACCGTTACAATAGATATACTCTTTGCCGTGTATTATCGTTTTTTCTTGTTCTCGTTGTTTATATGTTAATAAACAAAGAAATGTAAACATAATTTGCTTCTTCGTAATCTGTAGTATTTACCGACCAAAAAAACATATTCACAAATAAACTGTCTTTTTAATATAAAAATATGGAATTAGAATTATTTAGAGTAAAAGAAATAAATACTTTTCCTTTCTCGAACGTTGTTAAGAGACTGGTGTGCGCTCGGTAGAAAAAGTTGGAATATATATATAATTTAAAAAATTATGAACTACAGTTAGTGTTTGATTCAGTTTCATATTGTTTTAGATAAATACCATCTTTTTATGCAATATTTTACATAATTTAAGTATTCTTTTAACTTTTTTGTATGTGTTACTTAGGTGCTTTAGCTGTATTATCACTTTTCTGTATTCTGACAACCTTATTTGCTAGAAAACCAATATCTTTGATTCTAATATTATTGCTTTATAAGTCAGGTTTATTATTAGTTTTTTAAACAATGCATGGTTATTCTTCTTCATAATATTCTTTTTTTTTTTTTTTCGTTTACTGAAACCCAGACTCTATTTAACTTTTAAGCTTCATAGCATCCAATTTTGCTAGAGCTGCTTTTTGACAATCAAACCTGATTATAACAAATATAAAATTTCTTGTGTGCTTCATATAAAAATTTTTTCTTATAACCTATAATTTAATATTAATATTATTTCTGATTTGCAATAAAAATTCTTAGAACTTTTAGTTCTTGTGTATCTAGTTGTCTATTGACATTATTATTATGTAATGTCATACAAATCATTTCAGAAATTTGACGTTTGTACCTATTAGGCTCACGATCAAGAATCACAGCTCCTTTAAACTCAAAGCCCTGCGGGCAGTGCTGAGAGTGACAATACAAGGCCTACCCTTCGTCCCTGTTCTCTATGTAACGTTTGTGTTCACGCAGCTGTATATGTAGATGTCTCTAACTTTGGCCAATGTAGCACTTCTCACACCCACATGTTATCTTATGGACTATGCCACTCATATCTAACTTATTTGTAGAGTCGTTTCCCAATCTGATCATATTGGTTTAGTTATCCAAACATGTAGACTACTCGTATGTTGCATTTTTACAGAGCCTTACGAATAGATGTTTCCGTAGATCAGAAACAAGGGACGGCCAGGAATGTATTTCTGCTTACACCATACCCATTCAAGAATCCAGAGTCCCCTTTTGTATCGTATTCTTGGAGATTTAGATCGTGGGGTTCCTATGCACTTTTTTCAGTCTATTAAGGAAACTAACTTAGGCCTTTACATGTCTGTTTATAAAATATAAGGGATAAGCATTTTTAAAAAGAATATTACATACTGCTGTGATATTCTCAGATCAGAACGAGGGGTCTGTTAGTTTTAAAGTTTTGTCAGTCATAGAGAATATGATAGCTATTTTTTAGCATTGTGGATTGTGTGAAACAAAAGTTAAGTGTTCTACCTGATGCTGAAGGTTTTTTAAATATATTTATTGTGCTAATGAAATTCGTTATACGTGTAATGTAAATATCTAAAATATCAATTAAACTATTGACTTTATATTCAACTGTAAACTGCGTAAAGAAATGAAATTTATAAAAAAGGCTTAGGACATGATCTCATCCGTTTTTATAACCAATAAGCAATTATCAACGGATCTCAAAAACAACAAAACAGAATTATGGCACAGCTTTGATACAGTACTGTCCAAGGATTCCAATATGATTCCTGTGAACTAAGGTGAACAACAACCTTCTATGGGAATTCTACATGACTGTTTGTATATGTTGTCATTAAATAAGAAATAATTAGAATTTGTGAGAAAATTAATTCCATCTAAAAACTCAGTCTTGTCTATGCCCAAAAGGTTAATGAAGTTATCAATTTTTCACGACATACAAATTTTTATTAAAGAAAACGGAAGATTAGTATATACTAATACTACGTCAAAAGATACAGAAAAATAATTTACTGGAATCACTGATTCCTTGATATTTCCTCTCACTTTGTAAGAGTTTTTTACAGAGCAATTAGATTTGTTGAAAAATTTATTGAAAAATGTTGAAAACCATTTATCCAGTTGATAAATTAAAGCATTAATTAAAGACGCTAATAACCTTTCCGGAAAATTATTTTTATATGCCTTGATTAAGCCATAGGACTTAGAGATTTGGCTATACAATTTAGATTCAAAATATACAGCTTCGGAACCTCTACTGTCTCAAACACACCTCTCTCGTCCCATTTTTCGACAAGATTCTACACAGCAGATTTCATATGGGAGAGGACTTTTTTTCTATCATTATCTTGTAATTTAATGTAGTTTGAAACATCAGACAAAATGGCATTGACTTCAAAAAAATAATCTTCCTTAAACAAAACAACCTGGTTATGGCACCTCCTTTTGTCAGCTCTAGTAACTAAGAGCTCAGTGTGTTCCTTTAGGAAATTTTTTGTTAACTTTATATTATTGAAAAGTGTTTTATTAATATAAGAAGATCTGTGATTTTTTAATATCTGATTTTTTAAATATTACGGCACAATTTATCTATATTGATACACATTTTGCTGTCTCATTTGTTAAGGCTTAAAGTACAGTTTGAAGATTTTAAATACCTTATAAAAAATTAAGAATCTGGTAACGGAGTGAAATTGAATAAAGATCCCAGTTAGAAAGTAAATACAGTAAAATCAGGGAGAACAACATTAATAAAATTTTTGACAAAAAAACTATTGCTATCAATTCTTGAAGAATTATTAAAACCTAACAACTTTTATTCGTAGAAATCTATTAATGCTCATCTGTCAGCATTATTATCATAGTATTTTGTTTTTTGTACATTTGAGTATACAATGTAAATTCTAGTAAATTTTTTTCTAATCTATGTTTCAAATTATTAATCAAATAAGTATGCATACGATTTCTTAAGAACTTGACTGTTATTAAAACTAAATAAAAAGTTGTGACATGTTGACGGTGTACTAAGCGCCATGTCTTGACATCTGCATGGTATACTGTACTTAGAAATATTATAGATTTTGCGCTCATTTTACTAGCATTATATTGAAACTAAGGTTTATTCTTTATTCTTTAAAATGTTTAAAATTTTATCCATTATTTCTGCGAGTGTGGCATCCATAATCATATCACGGAGTCATGACATTCTACTAATTTGGCGTAAAACTAAACATACAGCATAGAACTGTTAATTAAAAAACATTAATTAACTGTTATTTGATTTATTACATTATATTGCAATTTTATTAAATTGTTGTTAAATGCTAATATTAGGAAATATTTGGCCAAAAAACACTATTAATGGTTACTAGGAGATGAGTTTTACAGCAGCAGAAACCTTAGACAGGACATACAGCCTGCCCATATATACAAGAGTTTTTATGAGACTGAATAGTAAACCATATCTGCCCAGGATGAAAAAGGGCGAACAAGAGCCGAACGCATTGTAGTGCACGTTTTTATGCACGCA